AAAGATCAGTAGGTTTAAAAGAAATGTTGAATATTGATGCCTTTCACTTATTTTACTATGCTTGGTTTAACTGTTAGGTTTTATACTTTTCAATCTTTCTGTTAACTATTTTCTTTGACTATTTTCTTTCTTCTCTTTGACCGAGCCTTCAGCTCCCCTCTCGACTCTCTTCCCCCTTCTCGCTCCCTCCCATCCCTCCCCTCACCCTGACCATTTCCCCCCTCCTCGCTCCCTCCCCTCCCCTCCCCCTGACCATTTCCCCCTCCTCGCTCCCTCCCCTCCCCTCACCCTGACCATTCCCCCCCTGCTCGGGTCATGACCCAACTGTGCAGCGCCTTGGGACGTCCTCCTGACGTGAAGGGCGCTTTATAAATGGAATCTTGTTGTTGTTGTTGTTCTAATTTGCTCAGATATCTCACATATTTTATTGGATGCTGTTAATCATGTTTTCACTACAATAATATTTTATGTGATTCAAGATTTTTGTTGTGGTTCACACATCAACAGGTTTTAAGTACAGAATAAATTCAGAGTTCATTGGCCTTGAAACAACACAAGTTATTCCTTGTGATTAATGTGTTGTGATGACTGAAAATTCTGCTATGTAAAAAGCCTAGACCCAAACTTTTATTCCTGAAAATAAAAAAACTGCTTTACACACTCTTACAGTTACGCACTCTTGTTTTTTTTAAACATTTGCCTTCAATGAAAGTCTTTTGCATCTGTAAAATGTTGTTTTCCAGGAAGGCAAAGTGTTGATTTATTTTGGTCAGCCAAGTATGTGACACACAGAAACCCATCACCATTCTTAAGAATCCGCAAACCAAATTACTGAACGTTACACTTATGTACGTAGTTTCAGCACCTTGAGACATCCTCCCAATGTGAATATATAAATGGAATTTGTTGTTTTTTGTAGTTGTATGGGAGCCAAAGTTTTGCATGTCTAATTTATTATGTTTGGGTACAACCATGCAATTTAAAAAAAACTCAAACTTTTCTGAAAGAATAGAACTTGGATCAAGAGGAACTTTCAACGATCAGAGATACGAAATGCAATGGAATCCACTTTAGCCGGACGGATCAGGGCAGGGAGTTTTGTTCGATTTATCCGCCGTCCGGTAACCGAAGTTCTTACTTTAATCTTATCTTCCCACTCAGCAGAGCATCTCCTCTGCTGTGCTGAGTGGGAAGATAAGAGTAACGCATCTCCTCTGCTGTGCGTCTCTTTCCTCCTATTGCCATTCCCATTGGATGGGAGGGGATCAATTAATGGCGACTGCGGGAGGTGTCAATCATCTCAGAGCTGCTGCTAATTGGTGCCCTCCCCGTTCACCAGATGCAGGGACTGCTGCCCCAAAGCCACTTGTGAATGGATGGAGTTTGCTGTCAATCAATCATGATTTGACTCCTTCTATTCCCTCCCTTGTTTATTCCCAGTTCCTCTGCCCCCTTACTGATTGACAGCCCAACTCCAGTTGCTTGAGAATGGCTCAAGTCTGTTGTTAATCACAATTTGACTCCTCCCATCTCCATCATGGAGTCACTCGTGGCTGAATGGAGGTGCTGGACACACTGAAGGCCCGAGTGAGTATATTCAGCGATGACCAGCGTGACATTTTGCCCGGATTAACTGGATTTTCATCTGAATTAACAGGCATATTTAAAACAGGTAAGAATACAAATGAATCGGAGCAGGTTTATCCAATTTACCCAGTGTCTGGGGTTAACTGCTGTCCAGCTAAAGCGGATTCCACTATAAATGCAAAGCACTCCCTCATTTGCTCATTATTCCTAGGTCTTGTCAAATTAGTAAATTTCTCCATCCATATAAGAACATTTCCAATTTATCTATCGCTATCAAACAAAAAACACTAGTCTCTTATCTTTGTTGTTCTAGTTTCACTTAGTTTAACAATGTTTGTCAAAATCAATAAATTCTTATTCTTTAAAAGCAAAGCAATGGTAAAAAGAGTCAGCTAGTTATGGCATTTACTTCTTTCTTAGTTGCTTCTCAACCAATTTCAATTCCAGTTTCTTCCAAAGTGCTATTTTTTATTTTTTTAATCTAATTTCTTAATTTGATGTTCACCCTGCATATCTGTGGTGCTGGTAATAAGATGACTGGGAAATATCTCACCTGTTGAAATTACACCTCAATCTGTGCTAAAAGTGCCACGCTCAGTGGAGCAGCAACAGAAATTAATACTCATTTAAGAGTCTGAGATTAGAAATAAATGCCCAATTATGTTTTTTTAAATAAAATGATTAGCACTTTAGGAACTAGGAATACAAAGGTTATCATATATTTATACTCAAGAAATTGTACTCGTGAAATTAATTAATTATTCTTTATTGCTAATATTGATTTCATTTTTCCCTGTCTGCCTGTATCACTTGGGATTTTTCTACAATAATTACTCTTTTATGCACAGAATGCTGAACACATCATTGGTGTAAGTGGCTGAATTTAATTATTGTGCAGTGAGGGAGTTTACAGTAATATTGGCAATCATATTCATTAAGGTCAACATGCTTCAGCAGTCCTACTACCTGAAAAAAATGTATGTCCATTCAGCTCCTTCATATTATCAGATACAACTTCTCCAAACTAATCCTTTTTAATGGTTGAAATTCCTTGAACTCTTTAATAATTGCTAATCTATTCATACCATAATCTGCAACAAGTAAAACAATATTAACAACAAACTAAACTTGTATAGCACCCTTCACGTCGGAGAGATGTCCCAGGCTGCTCGACAATCAGGAAGTTTTCGACCCAAGCTGGGAGTTGGGGTCAGAAGGGAAGGAGGGCAAGGGGATGGGGTGGGGGTGGGGGCGTGGCCAAAGGCACGATCGAAGAGGAAGGTCTTCAGACTGGACTTGAAGGAGGCAAGAGAGGGGGTGAAGTGGAGGGATTGCGAGATAAAGTTCCACAGTGTGGGGGCAGAGATGCTGAATGCCCGACCGCCAATGGTGGGGCGGGAAGTACGGGGACCTGAAGCAGGCCAGTGTCCACCGAACAGCCAACATTTTTAAATGGTTTCATTTTCTAAACTTATAGTGGATTCCCTGTTTAATGATTAATATTTACTTTTAGTTTGAATTAGTTTGAGGCCCCTTTTCAGAATATAATCATTGTGTTTAGATGCCTTAACCAGAACTAAACAATAGATTGCAGTCTCTTTAAGAATCCATGAGATATCTATTTTAAAAGAAAGCCAAATCATATCACTGTACAACGTCATATTAAAATCATTTCAGTCATTATGTTTTATTTTCAATATTTCAGAAAATATGTATTTCAATATTTCTGAATCATGTATTTCAATATTTTTTTGAAATATACACATCAATAATATTGAGGTTGACTATTATTCTTCAGTGGCATAGTAAAAAACATTTATTGATCTCAGTAAAATTCTACATTTTTACAAACAACTAACAGTTGTCAGGAAACTGCTCCACAAATTACAGATTTTTTGTCCTACGTACATTCCTGTGTTCGAATGTTGAGTATAGTTTTGTCTGATTATTAAACTTAGTGAATTTTCATATTTTTACCATGCCCCGTAGGCCTCAAAACTAGAATGTGTTTACATCACTTTGGTGATGCCACAAGTAGTCCATTGAGAAAAGTCAAACAGGAAATGGGCTTTTTATGTCCACATATATGTTACTGTTTTCAGTTCTGTAAAAGGGCATTGCTTTCAAAAAATCTGTTTCACAAACCTTATTTTAAAGGAAAGAAGAACCAAGTATTATCTTCATAGCAACAACATTATGCAAATGTGGTGCAGTGGTGACTAGTGAGGTTTAAACCATTGCATTGTGCTTTTATAAGTATGGTTTTAGCAAACGCTTATAAAGATGCTCTCTCCTAAGCAAAATGAAGATTGAAAAATAATGGTAAATGGATAGTTTTTGTTTTTAAAGGAATTAGGTGAAAGGAAATTAATCTTAAAACTTTTAAGAATATTGTTGATATAATTTAGACAGTTTGTTTTAAGATCAGTAGCTGCAACAGATAGACTAATTATAACTTATTTGAACAGTTTTATGATGATACAATGACTGCTTTAGGGGATCAAGCAATGAACTGTGACATGCAGTGGTGGGATTAAGCTTCTCACCTGCGATTCCTCACACAGTGAATTACCAATCTCACCTGGCTGTCACTAGGTAGCACTGAGCAGAGCATGGTGATTCTGCACAAGGAAAAAGGGAACAATCAGAGGGCAACTCAACCTGGACTACTTCTGAAAGAGTCCATGGGGATTATTCTCACCCAGCCACACTTTCAACTTTAGGTGTTGTGTTCTTATCCACAAGCTTTTCCATCATATATGCTCACAGCAAAAGATTGGCACACTTACCAAAAAAGGAAATTTTAACACTCTCCCCATCTATTAAAGAAAGAAGGTTAGCTCAGATGTGTTAGTAAATCCTGCCAATGGCCTTCTCATTGGGGAAATCAATGCACTGAGGGAGAAGGAAGCTAGCTAACAAAAAGGACAACTGAGAAACTAAATCTGTTTATCTAAAATTCAACTATTTAGTTCCATATCATTTGTTTCCTATAACACTGCTGATTTTCTGTAATGTCACATAGTTTATTGTCAACCCCAATATACAGTACATTCTAAAGCATGCACTAGAATGCAGTTGGATTCAGGGAATTTCTTCCTAACTGTGATCCCCTACATCCTATTGTTGGAATCACAGAACAAAGGCAAATTATTCCCCTGATCCTAGCAAAATAGAGTGCATTTTAACAAATATCAAAGAGGCCTATAAAACCAGTCAATTAAAATTGCCACAGACTCAACATTTAAGTGGTAATTGGACACCTGTTTTACCTTTAACCTCACACTGCAATTTTAATTATTAAAGCATTTTTATTTAAAAAATGGTGCTATACTAAGGTCAATATATGGAAGAATTTTTTTAAAAAATGCTATGTTCATTAGATAGTGGCAGTTGTAAAAAAAAGTACCTACTTTGTCTGTCATTTCGTGGGAGTGATGCAGTGAGTGTTCTCTTTCCAGGAACATCCTCTGCTGTTCGTTGCTGGCCAGCCGACAGGTGAGCCAGGCAGAGAGAGTGCACCCCGCGATACCCAGGCACGCCATTGACATGGAGGCTACATGTATGGGGTAAACGAAAGCTGTCCCTTTGCCTAGTGCTCGCAGAAACTGAAAATTTAATATTCCTCCGATCAATCCACAGATACAACAGGCTGAAAATAATATCATCTGGCAGAAGACAGGAAGGATTACAATCAGTCTCCCAAACTGAAAAATGGAATTAAAATAGTCACAAGGTCTTAAAAATAGATTAAAATGTACAGTGTTATAATTAAAAAAAAGACTACTTGCAACAAGTTAATGAATGAAGCATGATTATAATGACTCATTCTGTGTTGAGCAATCACAACCACAATAATTCCGGATTTCACAACTGAATTTTAATAACAGTAGCAACTGGATGGAACCTCCCTTAACATGCTGACCCCTCCCTCACTATAATAAATCCAATAGCCCAAGCTGAAGCTTCATTCCAATGTATGGAGAAGTATGCAAATGAGACAAAGGTCAGATTCCAAGAACTACTTCATTAAACTATATTATTTTAAATTGTCATAATTAGTAATAATGAAGTCTATCAATATACAAGGCAACCGCGCTATAATGTGGACCGTGGACCCACACTATACCGCATGTGTGGTACATACAGCGCCCAGTGCTAAATAGATGGCTTCCTGCACCATAAAATGGCTAACTTCAAAGTTGTCAGGTCACCGTTGATGTCATTTCCTGTAATTTGCCTGTAATTTGCCTGTATACATTCTATGTGCATGAAGCATTGCTGACATCACTTCTTGAACCCTGCATAATACAACACAAAATTGCATTTGTAAAGTGCCTTTCACGTCGGGAGGATGTCCCAAGTGGGGGGAAAGGGAGAGGGGATTGGATCAAGGAGGGTGGAGGGCAGAGATGATAGTAGGGTGGCTGAAGAGGAGGATCTTGAGGTGTGCCTTGAAGGAGGCAAGGGAGGGAGCGAGGCGAAGAGAATGGAGTTCCAGAAGGTGGGGTCACAGAGGCTGAAGGCTCAACTGCTAATGGTGGGGCAGGCCGGGTGGGGGACAAGGAACAGGCCTGAGCTTGCTGAGCAGAGGGAGCGGACAAGTTGATAAGGAGTTAGCAGGTCAGAGAGGTAAAGGAGGGTCAAGACCATGGAGGGCCTTGAAGGTGAAGATGAGAATTTTGAATCCTATCCTCTGGGGATGGGGAGCCAGTGGAGCCGGGCAAGGGTGGATGTGATGGGGTCACGGAGCATGGAGCGGGAATGGTCATGAGCTGCAGAGATCTGGATGATCTGCAGCTTGTGGAAGGAAGATTTGGGAAGGCCGACAAGCAGGCGTTGGCATAGTCGAGCCTGGATGTAATGAAGGCACATATGAGGGTTTCAGCAGCCTGAGGGGTGAGGCACGTGGGTACTATGCAAAGGACCCACTAATAACGTGCTCTGTGCATGTACGCTATGTGCAAGAAGCATCACTGATATCACTTTACAAAGAAAGTGATGTCAAGAAAGTTTTTTGCTCATAGTGCACATGGCAAGTGTGTGAGAGGTGATGTCTATGGGTAGAGCAATGTCGCTAATGACCTGATGACCTGGAAGATGGCATTTTTTTGTACTTCATAATATGGCCTCTGCGTTATTGGACCCAAATGACCGTAATGCAACAGGGATGTCCTGTATTTTATAAAAAGAAACATTAAATACAAAGGCCTATGTATAAGAAACTATCACTACATTACTATAATACAGAACAAATATCATACATGGAATTTACTGTCTCCTTTTTACAGGAACAATGTAACTTATATTGTATGGTCATGAATACACTGATTCACAATATTAATAAACATATTGATTTTAAAATTCAGTATGCCACTAAACCTTTTAATTATTGTATTGTATTATTTTTCAATAAAATTATTTTACGAGAGATTCAAGTTTACTCAGAAACCGAATTAAATACAGCATGTAATCAAACAACAGCTCAATAAACTTCACATTAGCTCTCATTGATTTAGTCTAAAGAATTTAAAATGTGTGTCCCTCCAGGGAGAGAGTGCGCATTCCATTCCAACAACATATCTCTGGAATTGCATGTGTAGCTGGAACGCATGGAATTCTCAGCTTGGTTTGGATATGCTTAAGCATGGTGATGGGTTTCCACATGTGTCAGACACCCGACTGACCAAAAATAAATAAATTGCAAAATGCAAATAAAATGCACCTACTACCCTTTCATCAAGTATTGTGCAAAATACGTGAACATAATGCTGGCTTTATAACATTAATCTAAAATAGTGTCAAAACATTGATATTAAAGCAATAAGCCATTCGTTCAAATAGGAGGTGCTTCGATAAATTATTTGCATTTCATAACAGAAATGTGGGGTTCTGTTAATAACCCAATCGAATTACTGTATACTATATAATCTACTAATGATTGCCTGAGACGGCAATGATGAATATCCAAATACTTTCAGATTTCTATAAACTGAATTGTGCTGCATAATATTTAGCAATATCTCAAAAAATATTATATATCAAGGTGCAAAACAGTTCTGTTTTGGTTGCAGACAGCACTGATCCGCAGCTTCAATAAAACATGAGTGTTCAGTTCCCATTGACCCAGGGAAAAACAGTCCTTTATCATCGTGGTCTGTCTTCTGTTCACCTTCATTAAACTTAGGGAAGGTGGGCAGATGTCAGATGTCAAAACACATGAGCTCCATCCTTAATTAGAAAATCCAGACTCTATAATTCATACGAAAAGTGAAATTAATAGTCATTTTTTAATTTAAAATTATCTCCCCCCCCACCCACCACACAACACACACTGAGACTTTATAGCTGCAATTATGAATAAAATGGAATAACTCACTATGAGACCAGATTTCTTTTTGGCGCAAACAATTCCACATATTCCGCAGATTAAGAACTGTAAAAAGGAAAACAAAGCATCAGTGATGGGGCTGAGATGTCAGACAATAAACCGGTACCTTGTTCATGTCCAAAGGCAAGTTGGAATCCAATGTCTCTCGTGATTGTTACTGTTCCTTTACGACACGTTACTTGTAATTAATTGCAGTGCAGTGTTATTATCCGGAGTATTTATAGCCTTCGTTTTAGTAGCAATGAGGACCCATTGTTTCAACAGAAGAAATCACAGTTTATCACATAATAAAGTATAATTATTCGCGATCTCGATTTGCCATTCTGTTATCTCAGGGGCAGGGGAACATGTTAACTGCTGTTTGCAGTGAGACCGTGTCGCTAATACTGAAGCTGTCAGAAAACTCTTACAAACTATATAATTATTGATCATCCGCAACATACTCAGAAAACACTGCGAACAAGACGGTACTTTGTAAGGTGCCCACCGGCTGCTCCAAATAGAGGGAGTCACTGGGATCCTTGTCAGCCACACAGTGAAAACAAACATTAAGGTGTCTTTCAAGGTGTGAACCTTTCAATGTACTGAACCCGTCTCCATGAAAATAACTGAACAGAATGTCACACCCCCACAACAAAATGCAATGCTATTTTGAAGACTTCCAGCGATCCTTCAGCCCTCCCGGAGAACCCAGAACCCAAATGCTTCGTTTATTTGGTTAAACATGAACGATTCTCCCGTTCACGTTGAAAAAAAAGCTGCAAAACGTTGTCGTTAGAGAGAAAAAAAATCCAAATTGCATTCTGCGAGATCTAAAGGAATACAATAAATATGTTATTGTGCAACACAGGGAATAGCCAACAACACAGGGAATAGCCAACAACACAGGGAATAGCCAACAACACAGGGAATAGCCAACAACACAGGGAATAGCCAACAACACAGGGAATAGCCAACAACACAGGGAATAGCCAACAACACAGGGAATAGCCAACAACAGGGAATAGCCAACAACACAGGGAATAGCCAACCACGCGCCGTCGGGTCCATGTATTTCAAGTGCTTCCCTTAACAGGTAAACCAAATGTGCGGCGCATTTAAAGCGGCGTTGATGGCGGACAATTGGATGGAAAGAAAGTAAACACCGACGAGTCCTGAGGACAAGTCCTGAGGGACGGGATCGGGGACACCGTCCGCCAAAGGCGCTGCCGAGTAAAGCGAGAGGCGGCCCCGGGCGGCCCGTCCGGCCCGTCCGGCCCGCAGCCCGGTCTGCGGCTGGGGCAGTCCCCCCCCCACCCCCTCCCCAGGCGGTGCTGCTTCACGGTTTGCTCGAATTGAGCAAGTTTCAGGCTTCCCATCGTGTTTGATTTTGTGGAGAGTGCAGTTCGAAAATGCAACTCGGTTTTGCACATTAGGGCTTAAATCCGTCTCTCACGTGTTGTTGGGTTTCAATGTGTTCGTTCGCACGAATCAAACCTTCTCAGTGATCGGAAAATAATTTGCAGACGTCGGAGTAAAAGTTCAGACAGGCGCCGAATTCGTACAGCGCACCTGCAGCCAAGACTCGAGATATTTCCAACACGTATCGCGACTTAGGGTTAAGTTAACAACAGTATTGTGTTCGCAACGCTTTCTGACTGGAAAATGGCATTCGGTGCATTTTCGCAGCGCGTTAAAATCACTCCCAACATTTGCTGGAGGTGCAAATAACCTTGAGCCCGGGAAGCACCAGCCCGCAGCCAGGTCTGGAGGCAGCTCGTTCGTTCCACAAGACATCAGGACAAGTCCCAAACCAAGATCCCACCGCGTCAAAAATGCAATGCGTGTTATTAACATGAATATCAACTTAAAAACGCGCGTTTCTCTCCGTGCAAAACAGCCACAGGAGTGGATGCAGCACGTAAGCATCCAGCAACACGGCGCTTTCCGAATTAATCATTATTTTTGTTTTACGTTGATATATATAGAGAGAGAGAGAGAGAGACAGAGAGAGAGAGACAGAGATGAAACAAAACCAGCCGAGTTGCTACATGCGTTAAGTGTTGGATGTGCATCCAGGTCCCACTGGTCGGGAGAAAGACTTAATTCACTGAAATTCACAAGAAATCCAGGAGAAACAGTGCGGAACGTACACAAACACCGCTCCATACCGGTGAAGAGTCTCCGAGCTGAGGTTTCAGAGCCTGTCTCCAGCCGATATTGACTGCTCCCAAAGCCACACTGGCAATGCCGAAGCCTATTTCCATGGCAGAGAGCACGAAGAGACTGGAGATGATCTGACTGCTGGTGCACATGGTGTTCCCACCAGCATTCTCGGGAAATACACTGCCGCCTGCCCACAACCGGAGGTGTTTCTCTCTCTTGTAATTATTAGTGATTAGAGTCAAAAGAAAGGGGGGGGGGTAAAAAAACACTTCGCTCTTTTTTTTGTTTGGGAAAAAAAAATCAATGAAACTTTTCTGCTTCAAATTGAACCCACGCCCGGATCGGGAAGGGGGGGAAAAAAAACCAGACGGAGCAAAACATCGGGTGATCTCCTCGGATTGCAGAGTGGGGTTGCAGAGCCTCTGTGTGTGTGTGGAGCCTGACTGTCCTGTCCGGGGGGGGGGGGGGGGGGGTGTTCACTGTGTGTTGCTGCCCGGGCACAGCAGATGGGAGAGCCTGATCCCCGGAGGATGGATGGATGAGCGCTGTTCTTTGGCTGTGGATGTGACCTCACATATACTTATACAGTCTCAACCTTTCGATCCGGGGATGGATCCAGTGCACAATACAGCAATTGCAAGCATTGTTTCCAAATGCACGTAACTCCCTGTGTCTCCCCCCCCCCCCCCCCCCCACACACACACACACACACACACATACACACACACAGTTGGTCCACTGAGATCCCCATCACATAACGCGATCCGACAGCTATTTTCCATAAGTAGCGATTGCAGAATTCCACTCAACACATGAAAATGCCGAGTTTTTCAGAGAAACGAGCACGTTTCACCAGCTTGGGACACCTTCACCTCTTGCCTTAGTCATTTTAATGGGTCTTGCACTTGTCAGGCCTTTGGCAAGAGTTTAACCCCTTCAGATTCCACCCCTTGTTGTCCGGGCGCTAGCGCTTCGCTTGTTGGTTTGTTTCAGTGCCAGCAATCCGCCACTCTGACAAGGGTGGGTGATACTTCAGTGTCAATCTGGGTTGCCTCTGAGGCATGGGGTAGTAGGTCCAAGCCTTATGGTGGGACTTTGAACTGGTATTGTGAAGACCTGTAGCTTCAGTGGTTAGAGCACTCACCTCGCAAGTGAAAGACCTGGGTTTGATTCCAGGTAGGGCAACATGTTGGGGGAAGTTTCCTTACTCCACACGCCTCTGTTTACGTAGCAGTAAGTAGGAACCCAACTGTTAGTCGATTGGCGCATTGGTTTTCTAGGGTAATATTTCCTTCAAAAACAATTTGCCATTCAATGCACGACTGTTTGTGGGACACTTTTTTTCCCCACAAAATATACAGTCAATTCACTTTACAGTATATTCTGTGAAGAGCTTTGAGAAGTTTTGAAGACGTGATAAGGCGCTATGTCAAATGCAAGGATTATTCTTAATATATAACCCTGACATTCCGATACAGTGCTGGGGATTTGCTGCATAACTGGAGGTTTTTCAGATGAGATGTTCAATCTAGTTCCAGTCTTCCTGTTCAGGTGGACATGAACGATCCCATAGCACTGTTCAAAAAGAAATGGAAGTTTCTCCCAGTGTTCTGGCCAACAACCGCCACCACCCCCCACCAGGCCAACACCCCCCCCCCCCCCCAAATAAAACAGATTATTAACCTCATGACTTAGTTTGGGATATTATTGTACACAATTTATGCCTGGTGTGGGAGAGGACATGGGCCGTTGAATTTTGGATCATCTGCAGCTTGTGGTGGAAGAATACAATTTGCCAAACACTCAAAACATTATCAGTCAAGTATCTGATATACACACAAAACAGAAACCCATCACTTTGCTTAAGAACATCCAAATCAGACGAATGAGAGTTCCACATATGTTTGGACATTTCCATTTGTCTGGAATGGTCACGTAATGCTGGAGAGTCTATAATAATAATAATCCTTGCATTTGATGTAGCGTCTTATCACGTCTTAGAGATGTCTCAAATAATAATAATAGATTTTTGGGGGGAAATGCGGCAGCTAATTGTGCACAGCAGTGTCCCACAAATAGTCGTGGATTGAGCGAGCAATTTTTTAAAAAAAAAGTGACTATTACTCCCAGAAAAGCAATCTGCCAATCGACTAACAACCGAATTCCTACTTACTGCTAGGTAAACACAGGTGTATGAAGTAAGAAAACTTGCCCAGTGTTTTGCTCTGCCCAGGAATCAAACCCAGGTTCTCTCGTTTGTGAGGCGAGTGCTCTAACCGCTAAGGTACAGGACTCCACGAGGTTAGGTTAGTCTAAGTTGGACAGAGCCAAGACTTGGGGAACCTAGAGTCTGTGTTTGAGGTACTGCTAGAGTTTAACCAGCTAAATCTGCACAGCTTGCCATTTCAAATGTGGACAACCTCTCCATTGCTTGTCCAGCTGGAACTAATTAACCATTAGGGCTTTGGGTTGCAGGGTTGACTTCAGACATGGGAATAATCACATCTGCCAGTAAATTGTCTGCTGTTCCAAGTCCTGTTAACTAAAAATAATGGATATCCATAATAAAGCATGTCATTTGTATTGCAAAAGCAGCAGACAGTAATTTTACATGATGTAGTCAAATTGAAAATAATGCACAGCTTCTCCAGCTCCACTTAAACCTTTAAATCCAAATGAAATGAGCTTCTGCTGTTTTTGTCTAAATAGAGCATGGAAGAAAATGTAGAATGAGAAGAGGCTATTCAGTCAATTTCTTCTACTAACTTTGTACAATCAGTTTTAGATCTTAAACGACTGAAATTAAAGAGCATTAATTGTTTTTGCCAGGAATACAACAATAACTTGCGATTCTACAGCGCCCCTCATGCAGGATAGCATCCCAGAGCGCTTGACACTGGTGGAGAACTATGCAAACAACTGAGCCAAGTTAATATCTATATTTTTGTTATCATCAACACGAATAGAATAACATTGAGAGAAGCATGCAAGATATCCCTTGGGTATATTGTAACAAGCTGATACAGAGTGTCAGGCCTCTACAGAGCTCTGTTTGTTACTGCCTAAGACACAGCTCTTCTCATTTATCCAATTTATAGTTTTATTGCCAAGGCAGATTTCAATCTAGCTAATTTGCCATTAATTCAATGGATCTTAATTTTCTTTGAGATGCACTTTAAATCTTTGAAAAAACTGTGAATGCAACAATATTCAAAGTTATTTTGGCAAGAATTATAGCAAAAGCAACTTAACCACATTAGTTGTTGTTATTTAACAGTTTCTGTGCAACACTTATTAATGGTCCACACTGGTTACTCTCTGAGCAAACCAACCAATTGCATGGTTACAATGCTTTGGTTCTCAAATTATTGTTTGATTATTGGGGAACCTAGAGTCTATGTTTGAGGTACTGCTAGAGTTTAACCAGCTCAATCCTTTCCCTTTTTGAATAGTGCTATGGGATCTTTAGTTTCCCCCTGAACTGGTAGATGGGGCCTCAGTGTAATGTTTAGTCTGAAGGACAGAACTGCAGGCACACCCCAGCACTGCATTGGGTGTCATCTTCAGCCAAATGCGCTCCAAATCCCGACATGTGGCATGAATCCACAACCTTTTGTTTTAGAGGTGAGAGTTCTACCAACTGAGCCAGCTGACACATCTTGTTCATTAGATATTGTTCTAGTGCTAGTTTGTGGATATTAGGTGCATATAAGTTTGGGCTCAACTTTGAGTCTCTTTATAATCAAAAAGCCTTTCAAAAATTCCCTGTCCAAGCTCATATGTAAACACTAACCAGTTGGGTAGGGCACAGTGTTACCTGAGGAACTGTATCCCAGTAATAGTCAGCATTCACTCTGTTTAAGCAGAGTGTTTAAGCAGTCTGTAAATTAATTTGAAAAGGAATTAGATAGATGCTTGAAAATAATAAGGAAGAGACTAGTATATTTTTTCATCAGCCAAGTGTCTGACACCTATGGAAACCCATTACCATGCTTAAGAGTATCCAAACCAAGTTGAGATTTCTATGCATCCCTTCTACACATGGAAATCGCAGAGGTAGATTGTTGGAATGGAATACGCACTTTCTCCCTGGAGGGACACATCCTGCTTACATAATTCTGGAAAGTATTAGGCGCAGGTTGGCAAGAGCCAAGTCTTGGAGACCCCAGAATGTGGGCTGGGCTACTGCGAGAGTCAAAACAGATAAAATCGCATAGCTTGCCATTGATATTGCTGTCTGGAAAGCTTTCCCACTGCTTGTCCCGCTGGGACCACCCTACCAGTTAGGGCTTTGGCTTGCAGGGTTACAAGAGCTGAGTGTGCTGACACCCAGCCCCCAGTGAATGTTCTGTCCTTCCAGGTGCTGCCAATGAGCCAGGTTGGCTGTGCTGTCGTCAGCAGTGCCCTGGACCAGCCTGACTATCGAGACCGCCACAGAAGGCTGGCTCGATTCTGACATTGCGTCTCCAGGCATATCATCTTGGAGCCAGTTCAGCTCCAAGAAGACCCCGCTTACCTCCCCCCCAAGGAGGATAGAGAGACTAGTATTGGCGTTGGTAGCTCATGTAGAAACGCCAGGGCAGATTTGATTGGGCAAAGGGCCTGATTCTATGCTGTTGCATTCTATAACCTTCAGAAGGGGGGAAAGAAATTGGTAAAGCAAATAAAGTCGTTGCGTCAATAAGAAATCATGTATAAGATTTATGAGAATAGGTTGTAGGTCAGTTTTCAATCTTTAGAAAGTTACATTTTTATGAAGCCTTAGTAAATAGAACATAGTGATTTATGCCAGGCACACTTCCAAAGAGGTGGTCCTCTTAATTACCTTGCAAAGCTGGTAAATTAACATCTAAAAAGCTTCACTGGTACTTTTTGTACTGCCCAAATATATGGTAGTTAATCATTGAGGCATTATCACTCCTACAGCAGAAAGAGGATATACCAACAATAGTTGTAATGATTTCAGTTACACCCTTATGAGATTATGGGTGTTCATAAATTTGAATGACAATGGTTAATTTTCATCTTCTTTGAACCAATGGAACAGACAATGTTGCAGATTGCTGTAACAGCTTCATAAAAATCCCATCATTTATCAAAGATCTAAGGAGAATTTTGTATCAATCATGTGTTCTGAATCATAAAAATGTGAAATTTGTACTGGAAAATAAAAGTGGTCTTTCACTGTTTAAAAAAAGGTGAGCCAAGCATTCCATTCTCTTGAGCTGCACCTCTTACCCTCAAAATTCGTAGAGTTTTCAATTGTGGCAACCGATTGTAAATCCTGGCCTTGCAATCATCCCTCAACTAGAAGCCACCAAACCTCATAGTGTGGGCATGGTAGTAGGCTTTTATAGTGGAGACATCACAGCAAAGCCTCATCCTATCCTCATCTATCCTTTCGGCCAC